TGCCTTGGTGAGTCTCATACAACCAGGGACAGGGCTTACTGTTACAGAGTTTTCATTAAGATAAAAAGAGCAATGCTACATGTTTTTCATTCAGCAAACCATTGTCCCTTTCCTTTCAAAAATCATATACTGAAGTGATTTTACAAGGAAGATAATCTCAGTTTGGTGTCTCATGCCTTTAATCCCAGCACTTGGGAGGCAGAGGCAGACAGATCTCTGTGAGTATGAGGCCAGCCAGATCTACACAATAAGATCTTGTCTGGAAGGAAAGAAGGAAGGAAGGAAGGAAGGAAGGAAGGAAGGAAGGAAGGAAGGAAGGAAGGAAGGAAGGAAGGAAGGAAGGGCAAGCCAGGGTATGAAAGATGTCACGAAAAAGTATATATGCACAAACAGACCCTGCACTGTAATTAAGCAACTACTGTTTATTTCAAGCACTGTGCCATTTGACAAGGCAAGTACTGTTATCTTCAGTTCATAGAATGGGGGAACCTGGGTTCAGTGAGATGAGCAGTTTGGCTGGAAGATATTTGATTTCTGGTGGCCCCTTTACAGCACGGGGAAGCACAGTGTTGTGAATACACACACATGGACCTCTGAACCCAGATTTACAGTGTCATGGAGCAACAAGGATTCACAGTAGCTGCACACACTGTAGCCTTGCTGTCAATCATCCCAATTTAACTGTATCTTAAGAAGCAGAATGTGGGGACAAATTGTATGGGAAAGCCTGCAGGTTTTCAGTAACTGTTGCCACATAGTTGTCCAACATAGCAATTTGAGAGCCTCTTTACTTCAGTCTCATCTACACTGGACACACCTCCTTAACAGCTTGCCCATAATAGAAAGCTGAGCACTCTCTGTGACTTGCTGAGCTGACCTTCTTCTCACTAATATTTTCTTTGGAACAGAAATCTCAGAGCATCAGAGGTGCAGCTAGCAGAGCATCAGAGAACACTGCCAGTGAAGTCATCCTAGGACCTCTCATATGCTAAATCCATCATGGCCACTTGCTCCTACGACCACAAAGCCGGCCTCACCATGACTAGTGGTTTCCAAAGAAAGCAGATTTCTGTATTCATGACATGAGAGAAAACCAAGCAGCACACTACAGAGTTAAGCCCCAAACAAGAGAACATTCTTGGCTCTAGAAGAATTCTCCATTACATTACACATTATACTGATAGGAGAAGTGGGCACAGGAAGAAACAGTGAATTATCCCCATCACATTAAGTATACATTAGTCACATGCTGGGTGCTGATGCTGACAGAACTCCAACTTCTAGATTTTGATTAATGAAATATCCAGTATAGTTCAGTTGGACTTTTTTTTTTTGTAAGACTAAGCAGCTTACCTTGTATTAAGGCTGGGCAAGGCAACACAGTAAGCAACAGGTTCCTAAAAGCCAGCCAAAGTGTTAGGAACTGCCCGTTCAAACTGCTAGGAGTCCCACAAGTAGGCCAAGCTACACAACTGTCTCATATATGTAAAGGGCCTAGGCCAGTCCCATGTAGATACCCTGGCTGTCAGTTTAGATTCTCTGAACTCCTATGAGCCCAGGTTAGTTGTTTCTGTATGTTTTCTTGAGATGTCCTTGACCCCTCTGGCTTCTATAATTCTTCCTCCCTCTAAATTTCACAGTACTAATTTGCAATGAAATATTCAGTATAGTTTGGCTGAACATATTTAATCCTTTTACATTTAAATGTCTTCCTAAACTGTGAGCAATAAGTCTGTTTCAAATTATATGAGCAAAAGCCATAGGTATACATTGATGGGTAGAAAGCAATGGTCAGCAGGACTTCAGCTTCACTAACAGTTTCTATTCAAACCTAACATATAAGTTTCAGTGTGTCAAAAGGAGAAGGGAATGTTGTTATAAAATAGATGAACTTATAGTAAACACTACTTTTTGATAATTAAAAAGTACATTTTATTTAACAAGATAAAAAGATAATTATATTTAACAAGTGCATCTAAAATTTTCACTAGGGTGCAAAATTTAGGTAAGATTTTAGTAAAATGATGTCTTCAGCTATACCAGAAAATCTTGATGAAAATAATGGAGTCATCCTCTATAGCAATAAAACTAAAGCTGATAAGAATTGCTAGGGTAACACTGTATGTGATAGCTCACATAAAATGTCAAACAAATTCCATGTGGCTTGACATTTCCATTAGATGAAAACAAATAAATATCCGAGAAATCGTTTTCTATATGTGACTTTAAAGGTAGAAATAATCTTAAAATGTCTAATGAATTTTATTATACAAGTAAGAATATATATATTAAGAGTAGCAGTCATTTTGGGCCATTTATGCAGATTTTTCAAGAGAGGGTTTCCAGAGTGGCCATGACTGTCCTGGAACTCGCTCTGTAGACCAGACTGGCCCTGAACTCAGAGATCCGCCTGCCTCTGTCTCCTGAGTAGTGGGATTAAAGGTGTGTACCATCACTACCCAGCTATTATTCATCTTTTAATTGACACAAAAAAATTAAAAATGGTAATAAAAATTTTTTTCAGGCCAGAGCATGGTAACACATGTCTTTAACCTCAGCACTTGGGAGGCACAGGCAGGCTGTTCTCTGTGAGTTTAATTGTCAGCCTGGTGTACATAGCAAGCACTAGGGCAGCTGGACCTACCTAGTGACACCTTATGTCAAGAAAAAAATAATTTCTTAAAAATTCTTCTTTTGGGTGAAGGTTCTATGTAGGTGACATGTTCAATAAGTTGTGTGGGTGTTGTCCTCAGCAGTGGGACCTCAATGTCAGTTTGTGGAAAATAATCTATTTCTTGGCAACAGTCTTGCTGTTTAGGGATCTCCATGGGACCTCTTTGGTCAACAACGCAATTGGGTGTAACCCAGTCCTGGTACTGGAAGCTTTGTTTGATGTTCGGCAGAGTACCAAAAGAGAAACATAAAAACCAACCCAGATAGAAAACCTTTGATGTACAATGCTCTCTTGCTTGTGAAATATGCTAGAGTAAAGGTGGCCCAAAGCTTGTAGGAGTAACTGAACAATGTCTGATTTGACTTAAGGCCTACTCCATGAGATGGAACCCATGCCCTATACTGCTTGGGTAACCAAGAACCACAGATCTAGGGTAAAACCAAAATCTATGGGTCTAAAAGAAAAAAAGGAATAATAAAATAACTCCTAAAGATATTTTGCTATGCTCATAGATCAGCATCTTGCTCAGCCAGCATCAGAGAAGCTTCTTCCTATAGCATATGGGAACCAATATAGAGACCCACAACCAGGCATCACACACACACACACACACACACACACACACACACACACACACACACACACACACCTTGGAACACACAGCTCTAAATAGGCTATCTCCATCAAATACTTCCCCACAGAGCTTAGGGAACCCAGTGAAAGAGGAGGTGGAAAAAGTGTAAGAGCCAGAGGAGACGGAGGACACCAAGCAAACAAGGCCCTCTAAATCAACTGAGCAAAGCTCCTATGAACTCATAAAGACTGAGGCAGCAAGCATAGAGCCTGCACACGTTTGCACCAAGTTCTCTGATATACGTTATAACTTTCAGTTTAGTTTTTTTCTTTTCTTTTTCTTTTTTGCTTTTTGAGGCAGGGTTTCTCTGTATAACATCCCTGGTTATTACAATCCTTTAGACCAGGCTGACATCAAACTCAAGAGATCTGTCTGCTTCTGCCTCTGGAGTGCTAGGATTAAAGGTGTGTGCTACCACTCCCAGCATCAGTTTAGTATTTTTATGGGACTCTCGAATGGGTGAATGACTAGATCTCTGAATCTTGTGCTTTCTCTTGGGCTCTTTTCCATCTGTGGGTCTGCCTTGTCCAACTTTAATGTGATAGCTTTATCTTATTATATTTTATTTTGTTTTTTCTTGTTTTTATCTTTTAGAAGTCTGTTCTTTCCTAGTGAGAGACAGAAATTGAGTGGATATGGATGGGATGGGAGGTGGGGAGGGACTGGGATAAGTAGCGGGGTGGAGGGATCTATTATCATCAGGATATATTATATGAAGAAATAATTTATTTTCAATAAAAAACCAGTTGATTTTTCCTTTACTTTTGGCCTAAGAGTAATTTTTTTGGCTTTTCTATTTTAGGTGTAGACTATAATTTCAACTATACTATGCTTTGGGCAACCATCATCATCCATTTCCATAACCCTTTACTACCAAAAACTCCTCTACCAACTCAACTATAACTTTCTCTTTATTTTATCTGTAGTCCCTAGCAAACACAACTCTAGCTATCTCATAACAGTAATCATATAATATTTTACTTTTTGAAACTGGCTTATTTCACTTAGCATAATGTCATCAAGGTTTACTCCTGTTGCAAGACCTGCGAGAATATCCTTCATACATATATGCTACATTTTACTTATCCATTCATCTGCTGGTGGGCCTTTGAACTTCTTCCAGGTTTTGGCCATTATGGATGATGCTGTTATAAACACATGGCCATCAGGAACAGTGTGTACCCTGCTTTTGTTTTGAGAGAGGATCTCACTATGTAACCCTAGTTGGTCTTGAACTCACAGATCTGCCTGTCTCTGTTGCCCAAGTACTGGGATTAAAGGTGTGTACACACCACCAGGGCCAGCATTGAGTCGTGTTTTTAATTCTTTTGAATATATTGTTGATCATGTAGAATTTGTAGCTTTACATTTTTGAGGGACCTCCTTACTACTTTTTTACATTGTTACGTATTACACACATTGATTTCATTCTTGCTGGGTGGTAGAGGTCAAGCATTTCATCTCTACACTTGGGAGGCAAAGGCAGGTGGATCTGTGTGAGTTCTCTGGAGGACCTGGGACCATGGGTGCACACTCAGGTATATTTGATCTAGTTAGCTATTAGTATAAAGTTGTTGGATGGCCAAAACCAATGTAATCCCAGACAATTAAATGGTTTGAGATGTGCAAGAACTGTGGAGATTACTGGTGATCATGAAGCATAAGCAGGATTCTCAAGCTGCTTTGTCTCACCTCTAGGAGCCCATCCTCCGGCAGATCTGTACAGTGAACAGCATTCCGAATCTTAGTTTTACCAAAGATTGCTCTGAGGGTCTCAGGACGTAAATGCCGGGCGATCTCCTATGAAATACGAATACATATATAGGTTAAAATTACTAATACGGTATTGATAAGAAAAATCATTCACTACATGAAACATCTTAATCATTTTAGTTTATAAAATCCAAATTATATATTGAGGGTGCTAATTTTTCTTGGAAACAACATGAATACATGAAAATTTTGATCACTGAAAAATTTATATTAACCAGTATAAAATTTTTAAATATTAATTTGTGATGTGTGTGTGTGTGTGTGTGTGAGAGAGAGAGAGAGAGAGAGAGAGACAGACAGACAGACAGACAGACAGACAGACAGACAGAGACTGAGAGAGAGGAGGGACAACCTAAGTGTCAGTTCTCTGCCACCATATGAGACTCAGGGACTGAACTCAAATGGTTAGATTTGGCAGCAGGCTCCTTTACCTACTGAGTCATCTTTTCTGCTTTAGTGTGGTGGTTTGAATATGAATAACTATGGCTCCCATGGGCTCATATATTTGAATGCTTAGTAACCTGGGAGTGAAACTATTTCAAACGATTAGCAGAATTAGGAGGTACGGCCTTGTTGGAGTAGGTTTGGTCTTCTTGGAGGAAGTGTGTCACTGTGGGTGGGCTTTGAGGTGTCAAAAGCCAATGCCAGATCCAGGCCTCATCCCACTCTCTGCATATGGATCAGGATGTCGCTCTCAGCTACTTCTCCCTGCCTGCTGCCATGCTCCCCACCACCACGCTGCCTGCCAAGATGACAATAGATTAAACCTCTGAAACAATAAGCCAGCCCCCACGTAAGGGCTTTCTTTATGAAAGTTGCACTAGTCTCCTCCGTGTTTCTTCACAGCATTAGAACAGTCACAGGCCCAGGATATAATACATTGTTCTAAGAGACAAACATAATCACATTTCTTTTTACCAGTGGATTATAAGAGCCACATAAAATAAGATTACTGTGAAAATTTTATAAGGTTAGTAAGCATCTTAACTTTATTTAAAATAAACCAGTTTCATGGTATTGATTTTATAGTTTTAAAAACTAAATCTGCTTGGCATTAGATCATCTTCAGAGAGAAAAATGGCCACAAATAGCCCTGGACTTAAGGAGGCTGAGATAGTTACAGCAATAGATACAAGAGCACAATAAGAGAATGTAGCAACATTTGGGCAAAAGTCTTAAAGAAAGGGAGAGATGATGGGAAGGCAGCCCAGTGGGTTTGAGCTCAGCTAATCAGGTTGACAAGCAGTAAGACAGAAGTGAACTGGGAAACTGATCACCAGTATACAAGTTCTTAGATATACTGGCTAAGTTACCAAATGACTACTTCTGTGGATGTAGAAATGGAAACAGTGCCAAGCACACCAATGGTGCATGGATGCTGAGTAACCATCACAACAAGACAAGGGTGTTTTGAAAGTTTTCACTGAGTTAATTATAGCCACGTGTCACTGTAAGGCCATGCCGAATCAACACACATTGAGCATAGGCTCAACGTGGTACTGAATGTGGTTCCATAGTTATAGTGGAGCTGCAATTTCCTATCATCTCATGGCATTATGACAGTCATAATGTGGCACAATGCACTACCCACCTGACTGTGGGGACACCAGCGGAAGTAAACATACTCTTCCAATCATATGCCCACATAGTTATGCACAGTGAGTAACATCAGATAGTAATAAGGGACAATGTGACCACTGTGTGTACTTCTCACTCTATTCTTTGTGTTCTTGGAGTATTTCCACTTATGACAACCAGCAGCAAGCCATGCTACATGGGGACCAGGCTTTCATTTTGGATCATGTAAAAAGGGTCCTGGTTAACTGAAATGCCATATATGCATTTTACATATATAAACAACCATACAACATGGAAGTGAATGCCAAGAGCAATCTTTCCTCACAGCAGCCCCATCCATGCTACAACAGATTCCCCTAATTACCCCAACACATTCCTGCTCTTCCTTCTATTTATACTCTATGGTGAGTATGGTGCCACCATGCACACACAATCCGTCCTTAATGAGCAGAAATAACTCCCAGATACAAGGCCACACTGAGTACCAACAATTTCATTTAGTACCATAAATAAAAAATGCTTTAGAAGGAACTTCGGTACTTATAAATGATAGGTTATGCTGAGAAAATTGGACTCCTTAAAAGAGTCATATTTATTTGCACTTAAAGTCAACACCTTTCAAACCATCAAATTCCTGGCCTATTCAAGCCCCTCGACAACCTGGTGCCCAGCTCCCAAGTGCCTGGTTGTTTCGCGTCTCATCACAAGCACTAAAAATGCTGCTCAGGTAATCCTTCAGTGGGAGGGAAGTTCCATTTCAATGACTGCCCTCTAAGTCCACGGCAGTTAAAAAACAAACAAACAAACAGGATGGTGACTAGCACAAAACTGAAAACAGAGAGAGCATTTATTTCATTACTCTAAGGCTGCATACATTTAAATGAATGCCACTGAGCACTGAACGGCGTGTGTCTGCAGCAGGTAAAATACGTCTGGACAGAGAACAAATGGCTCCCATAATAAGCTGCTCTCTGTCTTCGCTGCTGCAGGAGGGATGCAAGACTGAAAAAGCTGTGTCATCGCTCTGTAGAAGGAAGCCTCCCCTTCGTTTGTTCTTCAGCCTTTTTACCCACAATGCCACCTAAGCTGCTCTGGGCAAAAGGCACCACAGTCCTTACATTGTCACAGATTCTCTTCATTTGTGAGCCTCTTTCATATTTAGCACTCTGGTCATTCCCATGTTCCCAAAGTTCCCCTTTACTCATCCTACATGGTCCCTGGCTCCTCGATGTCCATCATCTTACCACCCGCAAGTCAATCTTTTTTTAATCCCTACCTTCTGGCCCTCCCTGTCCCATCATACTTAGTGCTGGGCATGTCTCTTCAGATGAGACTTTAGTCCCTAACTCCTGTCCAGCCCTTTACTCAACAACATCATCTGGTTATTCCACAGGAATTTTATACTCTACCTGTCCAAACCTAACCTCATTATCTTTTTTTCCAAGTGCTTCCTCTTCCTAAGTTCTCTCCTTCCATGAACAGAACCACACTTCAGCCACATAATCTAGGCAAAAGGCTTTGGAGTCATTCCCAACTGCCTGTTTCTTCCTTGAGCCCCAAAGGCTCGATATGGAGTTTTTCCTTTGGCACAGCACTCCGCCCCAAATCCCCTTCCCAACCCTATTGCTACAATTTATTCCCATATTATGTTTAGACTTTAGTGGTTTCCTAACAGGCTTCCTTACATCTATTATGAAACTTTTATCCCATTTGTTTCCACATATGCTCACTCTTGGAATCTACACAAAGTTAATGGCAGGGACCATATGATCTTTACATAAGGACTATGTGATCTTTACATGGACAACAAACTGGAAGGCCATGAAAGGTGCATGGAGTATCAGTATTAATGACGTAGAAGATGAATGAATGGATGAATCAAAGGACTAGGAATGCCCAGATTTATACTCATTATGGGTGACGGAGTAGAAAAACTTAGCTACCAGTGGTCAAGGCTCCTTTTTGTTATATTTTCCAGGAGTGTTTATCTCAGGGAATTATGAAGCAAACTCCTTTGACATATATGTAATCACCATTTAACTGGACTATTTTTATCTTCATGTATGTATGATGTGTGTGGGCATACGTGTGCCACAGTGCATGTATGGAGGTCAAAGGACGACCTCAGATGTCAACTGCTGCCTTATACCTTGTGTGAGATGGAATCACACAGTTTGTCAAAATGTACAGCGGCCTAGCTGGCTCAAACACTTCTGGGTATTTGCCTGTCTCTCCTCCCATGCCACCAAGGCAAGGCGAGATTACGGATGCATGTCCACATCCCACTCGGGGCCACTCATCAACCCAGCTTCTCTTCTCCCATTCACCGCTGTCCCAGACATTCAGACTAGATCACACAGGGCTATTCCAACATTTTAAAGCCCACAGATCATTACCTATTTTGTGTATTGTTCTGTGTTGTATCCTAAATACACTTTGCCTAGTATATAATAGTTGTTCAGTTGATTTTCAGTAAGTATGTAAATTTTATGGCCCTCTTCAGAGTTGGCAAACCCACTGGAAGTGGGGTGGAGTCTTACTTATCTTTATATCTCTGGTGGCATTTGGTACATCTCACACAAGGAAGCACTTCATATACAAGGTCTGCATTGCACTGATCCCTATATTTTAAGTATTCAAAAACTATGCAACATGCTTTATGAACTACACATATTTCTAAACACACTCCACCTCCACACAGACTGAATTGCAAAAGGGTTACCTGGGACTTCTGAGAAACACAGCATACGGACCAGAACTTACATTGAGGAATCTCAAATACATCACAGTACTGCTATTGCATACAGAGCTGCAGCCGCTTCTCCACCTGCTGCTCTTGGATGAAACCTGAGACTTACACAACTAACCAAAGAGCCCCAGCAGCCCCCCAGCTCTCGACAGCACTGTCCAGCTCTTAAGTGGATAGGCCTCAAAGGAACCCACTTCGTGACTAGAGCACACCATCTCTATCTAAGTGTAGACCTGCGCTGTCTATTTTTCATGTACACAGTAAATCAATTCATTCAAACTCCTGAAGGTATCTTTTGTGAGAAGTGCATCTGAGAGGATGCATCGGAAAAATCAGCCTTTGAGGACAGATATCCTATGACTATTTTACTGGGTTTTGTTCCGCTTTGCTTGAATGAGTGTGCTTATGGCAAAAGACAAGGAACAGATCACAATGTTCTGCTATCTTTAAATTTCAGGTTAAAATGATAGTGCTGTGATATGTTCTGTACAGCATTGAAACCTGACAATCCAGTCATGTCTACACAGCAAACTACTCGAAATGAATCCAGGTCCTGCCTCTAGGTGGACTCCTTCCTGGGTCCATTCACCATCCATTCAACTGCATGACCATGCTATTCTCCCCAGTCTCCAGGAAACACACGTGGCTCAGATACGGAGAGACACATGAGTGCTTCACTTTCCTAGGGATCAACACTGTA